CCACAATCGCCCTGGTCTGTCCTCCTTCTTTTCTTATAGCATTATGTTATTTTTTAATAACACCTTTAATCATGGGCACTTATGTGACCTAATTGAGTTGTGAGTGCTGTAAAACTTTTAATAAAACTAAACTAAGAGTAATTGATACCACCATATTGTATTTTAAAACAGGCAAACAATTATTTCTCTTTGAACGATGTGGGTGGTTGGCGGGTGCTCTGGTGTGGTTTGCTCCTTCTTTTCTATAAAACATCTATCTTCCTTATCTCCCCTTCTTCTTTTTTATGTAAGTAACTCTCTTGTAACACCTCTAATCTTCTGGTGCTCATATGACCTTATGCAGTTGCGAGCGCCGTAAAACCTCTACTAAAACTTTTAGTAAAAGTAAAACTCTTTGATCGATGTATTTTTCGCTGTACAGGGCGTCCGTGTTTTTTAAAAAAGTGAATCAAAGAATACCTTGAATACCAATGCCATACAGCTACTGCTACAGCACAGGATATGTGAAAGGGGCTCTCCGAAGCAAAAGAACTAGTCGGTACCTTAGAATTACAACGTTTTAGGCCGTTTTGGGTTACTGAGACCATAAGACCTGAAAACAAAACAAATGTTCTAACTGCTCGATCGGATTAAAATCGTAGGATCATTCGGAATCGTTTTTAAGATTTTCAAAGTTATTGCATTAGAAAAAGCTTGACATATGAAACAAAAAAATATTACATCAAATTTCTCTTAATTAAGTACTGAGCAGATAGAACTTTGTACTTCTGAGGTAGCCTAGTGTGTAACATTTCGTCCTATAACTTAAAAGAGCCAGTTTCACGAATGAAGGTTTTAGCGAATTTTTCAGGAGGAGCAAAAACTGATTTATGTAGGTAGCCTATGTATGAATGATCAACACACCGGAAACGATCAAGCCCTTAAAGCTTTCATAATAATACTATGATACGCGATTTAGGCAGAAGGATCCAACGTTTTCTAAGGCCTTTCCTTCTATTGTGACCTGCTCCTTTCGCTGAGAGAGGAACAGGTGCTGAAATAAAGTCCCGCATTGGAAAAGCACAGGCTGCTTTCATATCTTTGGATAGGATTTGGAAGACCAGAGA